CTACAGACTGTTGAGGGTTCAGCCTCCTGATGAGTCGGTGAAACTCGGACGAAACAGTTTGTCACAGCCCCTCGTTTGTTGTCCTCTTCTCCCTCTCTGCCTACGGTTTACCGGGCAGTTCTATTTGACGATATATAATCTATTATTTTAAATTTGGTAAAGAACTTCGATGTGACCCTGAGGCAAAAGTTGTTCAGTGTGTTTTTCTTCATAACATAATATTTGTTTCAGGTTTTTTTTTGTTTTGTTTTTTTTGCTGCGGGGATCTTCTTTGGTCCTTGCACGGCCGGGCCGCCCGGGAAAACAACGTGATCCGGGCGGCCCGGCTGGTAGCCTACCTTTCCGCAGTCGAATCTATAATACTATGTGTGTCAAGTCGTCAACCGCGTGGCCCTCACCCTTCACTCTTGACACTGGCGCGCGCTTGTTGTGGTCTCCAAGGTTCCACGGCTCGTCTTCAAGACAGAGGCGGTAGCAAGGAGACCTGACTTCAGTCTCATAGTCACTTTGGGGATTTTCAAAACTCAGAAGCTGTCTGTGCTGGTCATGGATACGGCGCAAACTATAATGCATCAGAACCGAGTCCCGTGCAGCCGCTTAGCCGTCCAGGCATGGATGATCCATACCCAAGCGTCTCTCACGGAGATGAAGCTGAAAGTGGAACTGGAACCTGGGACCATAGAGACTATACTCCTGTGCACCTTGAGGTACTGTCGCGGTTTACGCAAGCTGGCGGTTTTACCGCCGTGTCCCAAGTTTCATAACATCCAGGACATAAACTGGCACAGTCTGAGACGCTGCCGACCGCTCGCTACGCTTCAGAAACTGCGCTTGTCCATGGTGGCATTTTCTGAAGAAGACAATGAAGCAGCAGCAGCAGCAGCAGGAGGAGGAGTAGGAGGAGGAGGAGGAGGAGGAGGAGGAGGAGATCGTGGGCATGTAGTAAATGCAACTGGACTTTGCGGGCTGCTGAATCTGTTCCCACAGCTCTGTGAGTTACAGTTGATGTTCTTCAAGGGTTTGAAATGGATTCATGTCGAATCTTCGTGCCTGCGAAAGTTGTCGGTGAAGTCGATGCGGCTGAGCCCAGCAGAGCCTCACCCGGAGCACATCCACGTCGACGCGTCCCAGTTACAGCAGTTGCTTCTGTCTGACGTGGGAAACTTTTCCCTCGCCAAAGGGACCACTCCAGAGAGAATAGAAGCCTGGCAATCCCAACAAGTGCGGTTCTCGGAATCCTGGGCCCGCAGGCTGTCCCACCTCACGGTGTCCCAAGATTCCCAGATGGGAGAGGAATGGAAGGACGAGGAGCTCATCGCTCTCTTCTCCTCCAATCGACACACGCTCGTGACCCTTGTGCTGGACGTTGGAGTTTGTCAGCGTCAGCGTCAGTTTGACGGCTCGAGTGCTGACCTGACGGAAGGGACCTCGCCGACGTCGTCGTCCTCAGTGTTTGCATCGCTGCGCCAAGGATTTCGACAACTCAGGGTCCTCCAAATCAAGCGGTGTAGCCTCGGCACTAGAATTCAAACCGAATTCAAACCGGAGTTTATTGCCGGTTTAGGGGCCCCAAAATTCGAAGCGCCGAACCTGAAAGAGTTGTGGCTGTCTCTGGAGCTGACGGACGCCACTTCCTCGTTCGTGAACATGTTCATAAGAACGTGTCCGAAACTCAGGCGCCTCACTGTAGTTCTCGATTCCGGGCAAAAGAAGGATGCTGAAGCTTACCAGAAGAACTACGACAAAATGTTAGAACTCATATCGAAGCACCGTTTGGAGTGGGAATTGTTTGACAGGTTGGATTTTTTCTAAGCTGAGCCTCGTGTTTCTCTTTCTTCAAAGCCCATGTTTCCATGTTTTCACTGACCCCCATGTTCAAGGCATAGGAATGTGGCTCGCTTATTGCTGCAGCGATATAGCCTATCATTTCTGTTGACAACTTTACAGTGTTTAGTCAACACTTACAATGAATCAGTATTCATTTTAGTTCACTATTCATTCTAGTTCTTTGAAAATCAAATAATAATGGTTGTCGCAGGACAGGTGGCTTGACAACCATTGTGTGCTTTGTTCGTCACAAGCACTAGCAAGCAACTCTAGGGGACTAACCAAGGTTAATAGGGGACTAACCAAGGTTAATATGGGACTAACCAAGGTTAATAGGAGACTAACCATCCCCTAACCAAGGTGAGGAGGGATGTCATGCAGCTGTGTGTGGAAGCGGGTTGTGTGTGTGTGTGTGTGTGTGTGTGTGTGTGTGTGTGTGTGTGTGTGTGTGAGAGAGAGA